TGGAGGGCCAACTGCCGTTCCGCGCGTTGCTTTCCGTGCCGCGCCGAGCACCCTTTGACCTTTTCGAGTCCGAAAGGAAGCTCAACACCATCAGGCTGTCCGTGCGACGCATCTTCATCATGAACCACCGCGACGAGCTGGTGCCCGAGTGGCTCACGTTTGTGAAGGTCGCGGTTGGCTCCGAGGACCCGCCGCTGAACATCCCCCGTGGGGCGCTGCAGCTGAAAACGATCTAGCGCGTGATCAAGAGTAGCCACGTCAAAAAGTGCCTCCAGGTGTTCGCGGAGGTAGTCTGGAAGACGGTTGACGACAAGAGGTTCCCCGCGCAGTTTGGGAAGTGTTTCAAGCTGGGCGCGCACGAGGATTTCACCAACCGGGCCAAGGCCCTGGAGCTAGCTCGCAAGGACACCTCGAAGTCTGGAGCTGAAGCGGTCAGTCAAAAAGGGGACATCGACCACATGAAAGAGGGACATCACGACATCGGCGGCATCAGGGGGGACAGCATCGCAGCGGTGTCGTCCTCGCTGTTCCTGGAAACGCCGCGCGAGAACGGTCTCGATGTCCTCTAAATTCAATCATGCTGGGCTGAATTGGTGCATTGTTCACCTCGCATGACGCGAGCGGCGCCTTGAGGTCAGTCCTCGACGGCCCCGAGCGCCGATCCCCTCCTGGGGCTTCTTGGCTGGATGTGAGGTTTTGCATATAAGGGGGGACACTGCCATAGAGCCGCACGTTCTCTCTGTTGTATCTGCTCGTATTATGCGTTAGGACAGAGCTTGTTGGCCGAAGGCTTATGGCGGCCTGCTGACCCGAGTTCCAAGATCTGCAGTTCACTACCTTGCACTTGTGTTGTCCAGGGGGCCCGCATGGTGGTTGACTGCATGAATCATCTGCATCGTCGTCATCATCGCCATCATTGTTCTCATCACCGCCATCGTCTTCACCAGAATTACCCACCGTCACCAGCGCCACCATCATCACCATCATCGCCGCCATCAACATCACTATCAATACCACCGCCATCACCATCATCAGCATCATCTGCCCTAGGCGCCCCTTTCTCCTCCTGCCCCCTCTTGTTATCTCCCTTGTTCGGTTGTGCTCGCGGGGGCTTTCGCGCGGGTGCCGTTTCCTCTTTTCAGGCCAGTCTACGCACGCATCTTTCTTTTTGTGTCCGATCTTTTCTCCCCCTTTTCTTCTTACCTCTGGTCCCGAATCTCGGCCAGCCACGCTCGCAGGAGACGTGCTGCTGTTGCTCAGCCCGCGCGCGCGCGTGCCCGCGCGGGGCGCCGCGCGAGGTGCATCCCGGAAACTGGGTCGGGGAGGGCGTGCTGTTGAGCAGCCGTGCGAGGCCCGTGGGCGGGATGCGTGTCCATACGTTCGTTTCGTACCGCGTCGTCGGCGACCCCGCCGCGGGCGTTCAAGGTTGAACGTCGCCAATGGCCCAGAATCGCCCAATAAGGAACGACCTGGCGATCGAACGGCTGCTGATCGCTCGGTATCAGACTCGTTGAAGTCGTCACGACACGAACCTGCCGTATCCTTCTGCCTTCATGTCCTCGCCATTGCTCCTGCTTCCTTAGATTCCCCGCGCCCCTGCTCTAGACTCATGTGCTTCTCTGCTGCCCCCAGCTTGCCGTCAACTGTTTTTCGGTGCTTCTCCTCCTCCCTCCCTTCGCGCCTGCGCTCTTGGCGCAGCCTCGCGCGACGTTCCCAGCCTCCCTGGAGGTCTTCGGCTTCACGCTGTTAGGGGATTGCTAAAGGTGCCCCTGGCCCAAGGTGCCTCCACCCAGTTTTTCGCTCACCTTGCGGGCCCCTGGGACCCTCTGGGCCTGAGGGGTGATCTGGAGGCCGTGCGGGGCCTCGATGTAAATCCTGGGGGCGCCTGGGGCCAAGGGCACCCCTAGCAACACCCGAGCCGTGGAGCCAGTGTTGGCACATAGGCCACATAGACAGGCACGCAGGCAGGCCACACAGGCAGGCCACACAGGCAGGCCACACAGGCAGGCGTATGAGCAGGCACATAGGCAGACACATCGGCCGCATAGGCACACAGGCCGCACTCTGGTGGGCGAGCAGGCGGTGGCACATGGGCCGCTTCGCTCTGGCCGCTGCCCCCTCTGCCCGCAGCGAACGCCGCGAGGCGGGCGGCCGGTGCAGGCCCCCGACGGCCTCGCGGCCGGACCTCCTCGGCCGCAGCCCCACGGGTGCAGGCCGACTCTTGCGCGGATCTGCCCCGCGCAGAACGTGCAGGGAGGCTGGATGCCCTTGCCTCGTTTTCGCTTACTGGGGCCTCCCGGGAGGCCCTCGTCGCCACGGCTGGATTCGCCTCGACTGTCTGGTCAGAGCGCACCCCGGGGAAGGTCGGGAGAATACGCGCGTGGCCGCATGCCTTGCCAGCGCTCGGCCCTGTCGTGGCCAGGCACGGGGCTTCTCCACAGGTGTGTCCAGCAGGTGGCCTCCAGACGTTGCACATGCGAGTCAAGCCGTGTGTGTTTCCAGCTTCCCGGTGCTCGCGGGGCCGCGCCTTAGTGCCCAGACCGCGAGGGTACCGATGTGAATGTTTTCGCCGGTCGTAGGTGTCGGCGCGTCCGTGGGCCGCGGATCGAGGATTGACTCAGAAGGATGCTCTTGTTCGCCCTTTCTTGATTTGAGCGTCTAGGATCGATTCAGTTCAGATTTTCGAGCCTCTCTTCGCCCTCTTTGGACCTTCCGGGTCGCCGTCGCCTCCAAACTCTGACCAGGATCGGTGATCGAGGATCGCCGCGGCCTGATGCTGGTCATACCGCTTCACTTCGCAGAGTGCAAGCACCTACCGTTGATGAATCGTGGTCTTCCCTCGTCTCTTCCTCTACCTCCTTCAGAAGCCTGCGCGGTGAAATGGCATGATTACAGTATGGCCTAGAACAACAACAGCACCTGATGTACGCTCAGATGGGCTGGCAAGACGCAAGGCTTTCATGACAGACTGGAGACCTTTGGCTGGCGCGTTGAACCAAATATCCGAGCTTTCGAATCCCAGTCTCGCTTCGATTATTCAGGGTATCAGCTGCACTTCCTGTAGCATGTTCCAATACGGTTGGCGCTCGGCGCGCGACATCGATAATGCGATTTATTGGCACAGGTGATGGTGGAATGTCCGAGCAGATAATCGCGTGAACTGCACGATTGATAGCAGCAGGTCGTGGTTTTAGCTGGGAATGCCACCGAAGACCTCGCGAATGCGAGCATCTTGGTGCATACGGATGAGGGCACTCGCGCCGGAACGTGCTCGGCTGTGGCGTGGTGCGTTCGTTCATAATGTAGATTCGTTGCTGCTGAGCTTGTCACGCTGGACTAATCTGTCGAAGCAATGAAGGCCCTGAACTGAACTAATGCTATGAGCCACCAGCCGTCCGATATGTGAAAAAAAGCGAAGCGTGGATCCGATCGAAGGACCCCCGTGAACAAATCGCGACGGACATTTTTTTGGGTAATTTTCGGGATCAGGGGGCCCTTTCTGGACTAGGGTTAAGTCGGGGACTTCCCTCTTCAGGAGGAAAATTCCAAAACAGTTGAAACAGATTCTGGGGACGATTTTTCTAGTAATTGTGATCATGTTTTGAATATTGGTTTGACTATATCTTATTTCTCTCGCCCGAAATCCGCCTGTAGGAGGACATCCGCATGCAGGATGAGAAGCCGGCTTCCCGGCAGGGGTACAGAGGGAGCCACGTTGGTGAAACATCTCGACGTCGGATGTTCGGAGGATCTCGACGCTTGCTGCCCCTTTCTGTAGAGGGAAGAAAAATGACATAAGCATGAAAACTCGGAGGTCCGCGCGGATTTCTCGGATCGGCGCTGGGGCCCCCTGGCGGCGCCTCTGGCGCCGCCCCTGGCGCCGCCCCTGGCGCGCTCCGCGCGCCAGGGAGGGGTTCCAGCGCGGTTCCAAGAAATCCGCCCAGACCTCAGAATTTTTATGTTTATGGCATTTTTCGTTCCCCTAAGGGTGGCTCTCACGGCCACAGCTGAGCGCAGTTGATGTTTGGGGCAGTGCTAATTGGGGTCACCAGTGGTGGGATCACTACCTCCTCCTGGGAATCGAGGGTCGAGGAGGAGGGAGTATCGAGGTTTGAGAAGGTTTTGGATGCTTCTGGTCGTCGTTGGGAGTCCTGGGGGGTGGGGCGTCCACGGGGCCCCGCTTCCTGGAGGAGGTACCTCCTTTAGTATTGCTTCACCTTCTTGGGCGGCAACGAGGCGGCAACGGGGCATCCACGGGCGGCGACGCGGGGAAATCTCGACGGACCCTTCAAGTGGACGGCAACGAGGCGGCAACGAGGCGGTACGGGGCGGCGACGCGGCAAAACCCCGACGGACCCCCAAGTGGGCAGCACCGAGGCGGCAACGGGCGGCGACGCGGCGAAACCTCGACGGACCTCCCAAGTGGGCGGCGACGAGGCTGCAACGAGCGGCCACGCGGCAAAACCTCGATGGGTCCCCCAAGTGGGCGGCAACGAGGCGGCAACGGGCGGCGACGCGGCAAAACCTCGACGGACTCCCCAAGTGGGTGGCAACGAGGCGGCAACTGGCGGCGACGCGGCGAAACCCCGCCGGACTCCCAAGTGGGCGGCAACGAGGTGGCAACGAGGCGGCGACGGGCAGCGACGCGGCGAAATCTAGACGGATCCAACCAACTATTTAGCAGCACATGTAAGAACCCTTGCGTGTAGGCACTGCGTGGGGAGGATTGGGTACACTTGGCCCGTCCCCGGGACCTGCGAGGCGCATTTGGGGAAGCCTCAAAGAAGGGGCCGACCCCTTCAAGAGGCACCTGACATTTGTAGAAGGCGCCCCCCCTGTCCTGCTCCCTTTAGCGCGCCGCGCAGGCATCCAGACGTGACCCTCCAGAGACCAACCTGGAAAGCCGTGAAGGCATTCGACTGGTGGCCCTAGCCTTCGGAGGGCCCGCCTGGCTGGCCAGCTCGCCCCGGCGCGAGGTGGCCGTCGACGGTGAAGGCCACATGCGTGTTGAGAGCGCGGGCGCCTCAGTCGGCCGCTCGAGCACCGTCTTCTTGCCCGAGGCCCTTCTTGCCGCCTTGCCTTCGTTCCTGCTATCCTGCTCGGCTCTCTTTGGGGTCCCTCGGGGGCGCCTCGACGCCACTCTGGGCGCTGGTCCGGGCGCCAGGTCAGCGGCTTGCATGTTTTTTCATGCAAGGCGCGCCCGTGGCCGCCGCGGTTGGGCTTGTCTGTGGATGCCGCCAGCAGGCGGGTCACATGGAGGCTAGGGTAGGCATAGTAGCGAGTCGGATACATCGGCTTCGTGCCGATCGACTGAGTACGGTTATCGAGTGCGCAGGCCGCTTATAGCTCGTATCGGGGATCGCACATGGACTCGACCCAAACGTGAGCTCTCGGAGGTCCGCGCGAATTTCTCGGCCACCCACGCCCTCCGCATTGCCTCCAGCACCACCCCTGGCACGCTTTGCGCGTCGGGAAGGGTATGCGTGGGTACGATTAGGCTGGTGGGTTCGCGTCGTTTCGACGCGGCGGAAGCTCCAGCGCGGGCGGTCCAGATTGATCGCCGCCAGTGGCCTGGAATCGGCCAATATCGAACAGTCGATGCTGTCGGAGAGCCGCGATCGCGCAAGGTTGAACGGCCCACGCGGTGTCAGAAACGCCGACGTCGTCACGACACGACTTTGCCGTACGTGTGTCCAGCACCAGCCCCGAAATCCGCGCTCCCCCCAGAAGCTGATGTTTCTATTGCCCCGTACCTACAATGTCAAGACAAACCCAGCTTGAAGTGATAATCAGGTTCAACTTAGTGTGGGCACCATGCCGAAGCAAGACCTGATTGCAATTGTGTGCAGTGGACTGTCGTTGCTGGCTTACTGCGGTGCTTGCCTCTGCTCGGATCCAGACACCCAGTCAAGTGGAACCTGTTGTTCCCTGGTCTTGCGTTGAGACTCGCGATTACGACCACGAGGTGTGCTACCCCCGGCGCTGAGTGAAGGGAGGCATTTCACAGTTCAGATCTGACCAAACGCCCGCGATATTAGACAGCCGTTCCCGTCGGACCCGGTTATGGAATCCGCAAAACTCGACCCTGAGGTTTGAGACCCTGCCTCATTGAAACGGCAGAAATGATGTTGTTAGATGTGGCCCAACTCATGTTAAATTGACACGGGCGAGCGTTCTTGTTTGTTAGAGGCCCCGTGGTTTGCGATTCGCTAAGCCAATTGCGATGACGCGCATATGCGCCAGCGCGCATGGGGCAACTGCGTATGAACGCTGCAGCGTGGCACCACCGCGACGTTGTCTGGTTGTCGCGAAGCCTACTGCGAAGTTTGATTCGGTTCCTCTCGGGGGCCTCTTGTCGGGCGACTTTATGCAAGTCCAGTTGGAGCAAGTCCAGTCGGAGCAAAGAAGCTCCATTTGGTGGGCCTCCAACTGGACTTAAGCTTCCCGTGGGCGACGCTAGGCCCGGTTGGAGCAAGTCCACTTGCAGCAATGGGGGCTCCATCCAGTGTGCCTTCAACTGGATTTAGCCTCTCCCGATCTTGGGGGCCATCTGAGGGGCCGTTGCCCCAGCCTCTCGGCTCGAAGGTTGCGGGAGCTGTTTGCAGCATCGCACGGTGCGATGGTGTGGTTGTGGGACGCCCCCCGCCCGGCGCAAGCATGCGCTGAAGCCCCTCAGGGAACATGTGATGCAGGTCACCCGAGAGAGCGCGAAGAGGATCGCGCTTCGCGGTCTTGGCCGACATGCTGCCCCTCAGGGTGGTCGCGTGACAGCGCGAAGATAATCGCGCCTGGCGCTTCGCGCAACGGAAACAGGGTATAAGCATTAAGTCGGGCCTGTCCCTCTACAGGAGGAAAATTCAAGAATGAAAATTTTCGAGTATTTTTTGCATATCTTTAATTTTTCGTCGACCTAGGTGCCCGAGGCGTCCGGGGGTACGTTTGACTTCCGCCGCGTCCAGCAGCCGCACCCGGGGCGTGGATCACAGGCCAGCAGCAGCGCCACCGCGCTCCCGTGGACGTATTTGCGCAGAGTGGTCTGACGATCGTGACCTTTCAAGTGTTTTTTGCAGAGGCAGCGGCGTCCAGTGGAACACTATGGCACGTGTCTTCTTGCATATCTGCTGAAGTGCGCCCACGTTCTTCTTGATCTCTCGATCGCATCAAACTGCACAATGAGGCAAAGAGGGCCACCTAGACACAAGTATACGTGTTCAGACGTACTGTCATCACTTACAGATGTGCATGAACGCAGCCGCTGCCATCGACATCATCACGAGCCTCGCCACCAGCAACGACTCCTACCACGGCGCATCAAGCTCGTGAGCATGACCAACACTATGACCATCGCTACAGTGTGCTTCATCGCCTGTCGACGCGTACGTCGCCGTCATCATCAACCACATCACGTGTGTCAGCGTCAGGTCCTCCTCCATGCGTCAGCACCAGCTTCTTGCCTTTCTTTGTCTTTAGTGTCTTCTTGTCCTCTTTACTTCGCTTCCGTTCTCCTGGTCCTCTTGTGGCTCATTTGCCTCCCTCCCCTCCGCATCCACTTTCATCGTCAATCGCATCATCAATATTATTATCATCGTCATCGTCATGCCTCTTCTATTCTCTGTGAGCAAGCTCCTGCTGTCTCCGCAGCTTCTCTGCCCAAGTGCCCCCCGTCGGCCGCGCGTGCGGGCGCCTTATGCAGGCGGTCGCACAAGCGGCTCTCCAGGGCGCTGGGGAGATTTTGTTCAGGGGGCTGCGGGCCGCGCTCTACGAGCGGCTCGTGGCTGCCCCCCTCTCTGTGCTTCAGGACCAGGGGCCTCCATCGCCTGCCTGGTCCATCCAGCAGGCGGACTCGTCCGAAGGTGAGGGGGCCTCCTGCCCTCTCCCTTCGGCGGGTTCCACCTGCCCCACCGTCTGCCTCGGGCTGGCGGTGGACCTGAGCGGCGGGGTCTCTCCCTGGCTGCTCAGCACGGTCGCCGCCCTCCTCTGGGTGACGGCCGCCTGCAGCGCCTGCGCGGGCTGCTGCCTCGGGCTGCTGGGCCCGTACGTGTGGCGGAGGCTCTGGCCCTCCGCCTGGCCGCGCGGCGCGGTTTCTGCTTCACCTGAGCAGGACCGCCGTGCGGCGCGAGCGCTGGCCTACGGGGTTCCGCCTCGACCTCAAGCGCTCGAGCGGGCAGACGCCCAGCGTGCGGGCGGCGGCGTCCACGGCGGCGCCCACTGATGGCGGAGCTGCCACCAGTTGGCGGAGGGCCCCTTTGGCCCGAGCTCTACCCTTTCGCTGCGCCCACGGCGCGCGACTACGCACGATGGCGCCTAGACGACGGCGACACCAGCTGGGCGGCTATCCCCCTCGCCTCTCGAGAAGGGGGCATCCTGCTGGCCCTGCCTGGTGCCTTTCGCTCTACAGCGGAGCTCGAGGCTGCCGAGGCGGATGGCTTTGCTGGGATGATAGGCCCCTTCCAGCTAGTGGACGTCCAGCTCCAGGGGGCCGCTTCACGGCCGCTCGCCACTACCGCATCCGTCCTCGTTATAGATATCGAGGTTGCCGAGCTCGAGCTCGAGTCGCTGTACCCTCTAGAGGTCGGCGACGACGCAGGCATCGTTCCCTTCGCCGAGGTGCGCAGCCGCGTCTATTGGCCGCATCCTTCGGGGGTTCGGGTGCTTCGCGAGGGCTACGCTCGTTTGCACGGCGCCCCGCCTACCGCAGGGGAAGAGCCTCTCCCAGGGGCCGATCGGGCTACCCCCTACCACTCTGCCGACGAGATGGAGGAGCCCGAGGGGTTCGCGGCCGACGGGGAAGCCGACCGCGCGGCCCCAAGTGCGCGAGCCCCCGCGGTCGCTGGAGCGCCGCGCGGCCCGCCCGCCAAGCGCGCTGGCGCCGCCGCGCCGCCACGGGTCGCGGGTCCTGCTCCGATTGCTCCTGGTGCTCCTGCGGCGTCTCTGGACGACGGGGCTCCCATGACCCGCGCCGAGGTAGCTGCCGAAATGCGCGCCTTGCTTGCAGCCCACGCGGCCTCCACGATGGTCGGCGGACCCGAACCGCTGGGCCCCGCTCCGGCTGCCCGGAGCGCTCGGCCCGAGGTGCCTCAGCTTTTCAGCGACGAGGCGGCGCGCCTCGGGCTGGATCCTGCGGGGATCGAGGCCGTCTTGTCCCACGCGCCCGTGGCCCCACATCGGGTCTCCGCGCGCCCCAAGGGACCCACCTCCGCGCTGGTCTCGGCGTGGGAGAAGGCGCGCTCTCTTGCTGTCCCTCGGGCCCCTTCGTCCGCTTTCGGACCGATGGGCCCCCCGCCGCCGCCTGGGCTAGCCCATCCCGCTGCGGTCGACGGCTTTGCCGAGGCGGGCGGCGCCGACGGGTTAGAGCCGCCCCTTGCGGCCAATCCGACGGACTTCAGCCTCATGCTTCAGTGCCTGCACCAGTCCCTTTCCTTGCAGCAGGGGCGGGGCCATCGCCCAGCCTTCCACCCGCTTCTGGGGACCCTGAGCGACCAAGCTCAATCTCCGCCCGCGACCTCGGGCGACCCCGCGCACGCATCGGCTCAGATGGGGGGAATCGCTCGGAGGCGCGAGTGGCAGCAAGCGCTGATGCAGCACGGCCCCGACGTGCGAGGACTGATGAAGGAAAATTTGGCCCGCGTTCTGGGCGTGGAAGTCAGCGCCGTGACCCCCATGGCCATGCATCAGTACTTTCGCGAGCACAGCCCCCTCGGGGCTCAGCCGTCGACGCACGAGTTGTTGACGCATTTTGCCTTCCTCAGCGCCGAGCTGTGGCGGGCCTGCGAGGAGGGCAACCCCGAGAGGGTCCAGACCTTGCTGACTTGCCAGTGCATGTTCATCGACCAGTTGGCGGGGGACCGCGGCTACCTCGAGGCCGCTTGGTTCCTCACGGGGCTGGAGCCTCCCCCGTGTCGCGTGACCAGTCGTCACACGGAGCGCGAGGCCCAGACCCCGTTTTCACCCCTAGTGGATCCTCGCTGGCTGTCGGCGCAGGGCGAATACATGAAGGAGCTGCAAGCATTTCGGG